GCGAATCGACGAATCTCTTCGGATAAATACAGCAGTGCCCACTTAAGCGTCCGCACTTTTGTCGCCACCAATTCTTAAAATTGGCATCATCTCGCTCTGTTACTTTACGTGCCGAAAGCCTCATGAAACGTGACATTTGCACGATAGAAATATTTGATACCGATATTTCGGTACTCTGTCGGTCAGACGCTTAAGTGGGCACTACCGTATCAACGGAATATTCGCGCGTACAAACGTAGTTATGCTTTCTCTGCCGCGATATCACAACGAGTTGTAATGTCGTCGCCGGTTCTCGAAGTTACAAAGCCGATAAACCGACTAGCCGCGCCGGGTAGGAAAAATCGAAATCGGTCCCCGACGACAATCGGTCCCCCTCCCGTTCCGGCTGTAACGCGGTTTCTTTTCGAAAGAAAGGAAGAAACTCTGCCAGCGGGAGCAGGTGGATTTCACGCGTTGCACACCGTGGCGATTCGCAATCGTCAAACGATTTCCCGGCTTGAAAACCGGTGTTTGAAGAGTCTTACGAGCCTCTCGGATTCTCTGGAATAACTAGAAAGTTATTTGACATTTAGATGGCTCCGCGGAGATGGGAATCCACAGGATTCGATTTATTCGATTTATTAACGATCTCGTCGCGAGGAAAGTCGATAGGCGGCGATCGGCGGTGGTTTTCGAGTTGCCACGGCCTCTATTATCGGCGGCGATACTAATCGTTGCGTTGCACCGCGACGGAACGACGTTACGAGGCGACGTAACGTTAACGTAACGCTGCTCGCCGGCCGAAACGCCGCGAGAAAGTAGCCGCGGAACGATGTTCTTTTCTTCTTGCTTTCTCTTTGCACACTTCAGTTACGTAACGAGGAGTGGCTCTCCGTCTGGTGTCACGGCCCCGATCTGTGGGCCCCGGAGGACACTTGACCGAGCGTCCTCGAGGTCTCCAACGAAATCGGCATCTCCGCTGGCTATTGACAGGTGCGCCTCTACGATCCAGCGCCCCTCCCGTTCACCAACCATCCGATCGATCGGTCGATCGGTTCTCTTTCTCATCGTCGAGACGTGGGAGAGTCTAATATCGAGCGTATGATCTTCGGATCTATCTGGAACACCTAGCTCTTGTCGATTGTTCGAAAGTTTACACTTGTAGCTTGATACATTTAACACGATAAATTTAACAATGTAATATAATATTGTAACAAAATATAATATAGATTGTAATATAAATTTAATAATATAATATGATTATGTTATAATTTTGTTATGCTACGATATATAGCAATATATACGATGTAACATGTTTTTTGAATACTGTACAAAATTTTAGTTTGTTACAATACAGTAAGTGTTACAATATGTAACGTAATCTTCATTAGTGACAATCTTTGACAAACTTTCTATTCCCCTCTTGCGAAATGTGGCTGCTTTTTGAAGTAACAAAATTTGAATTTAAATTTTTTTGAAAAAAACATTGATATAGTCGTAATACAATGGTGACAATAATAATGATATGTATAATAATAAATTGTATTATATAAGTAGTAAATTGTAAATGTATAAAATTATCATTACTATTATTACATTGTAACCTAACCTATAATAATAGAACTTAACCTACAATATGATCATATATAATATATTGTAATTAATGTAATGTATTATATTACATATAATATATTGTAACCTAACCTAACCTATAATAATATAATATATTATAACCTAACCTAACCTGTAATAATAAAACTTAACCTACAATATGATTATGTATAATATAATCTACGATATGTATAATATAATCTACAATATATAAATATAACCTATAATATGTATAATATAATCTACAATATATAAATATAATCTACAATATGTATAATATAATCTACTTAACCAATAATAGTTACACGTAACATAATCATATTATAATATAATAATAGTTTTAACGTGTTAAATATAATGTTTAATTTAATTAAATGTAAATGTCTTGGTTTAATATATTTAATATATTTTAAATGTTTTGATTCAATATATTATATTAATAATAATAATACATTTAATACAATAGATATATTAATAAATTAATATATAATACAATAGATTCATTAATATATTAATAATACAATAAATATATTAATATATTAATAATAATAATACATTTAATACGATAAATATATTTCACATCGAAATAAAACAAATAATACATTAATATATTAATAATACGATAAATATATTAACACATTAATAATAATAATAATAATAATAATACATTTAATGCAATAAATATATTTCACATCGAAAGAAAGGAAGATGGATCTGTTGCGCGTACATATTTACTCGGAGAAATAAGTAACACGCGTGCGTTTCACGCTAACGGCTCGTACTAGTACAGTTAATTAATTCGTACTTCATAGGCTCATCGAACGACAAATTATATTATTAATGCGCCGTGTCGTTTTTCCGTTGCAGGAGAGTCGAACGGTGTCGCTGCTGATCTGCTTGGGCATTCTGCTCGCGACGATTCACAACGGTGAGTATCTCATGCTTGTTTCGAGAAAGAAGCTTGAGAACCGTGAGACCGATTGACTAATCTTGTTGTTAGCCAATGGTGAGACGAATGTCCGTATCACACGGATTCGATTTATCATTTTCTTTCTGTTCGGTTGGGAAACTCTGTTATATTCCATAACAACTGTACTAATTATTATCGTGACGCGGTATACGTTTATAATTGAAACTGACTGTGACATAACCGGAGAAGAAAATTTCCAATTTGTTCCTTTGATTTGGAGAATTACGACGTGAGAGAAGGTGCAGGCGAGTAACCCATTTACTCCGTGACCGAGTCTCTGATCTCTCTACTGTAATTTCTCCAGCGCAG